CTTAAACTATTTTTCAACATAGTTGCCACCATTGTTCAGACATTTGTCGTAGCGGGAAACCAACTTTTCTATGCCCTCTTCATAGAAAGATGCCGCCAGTGAAGATAGCCACTGCTGAACACCGTTTTGTACGTCCTCATCGCTGTCAAAGCGCCTTCCTCCAAAATCACGCTTCAAGTTCAAGAACAAGTGGTAGTCAGAAGGTGCGAGATCGGGGCTGTACGGCGGGTGATCGAACTGCTGGTGTCACTCAAAACCTTATTCAAGCATTGGGAGCAGTTCGATCACCCGCCGTACAGCCCCGATCTCGCACCTTCTGACTACCACTTGTTCTTGAACTTGAAGCGTGATTTTGGAGGAAGGCACTTTGACAGCGATGAGGACGTACAAAACGGTGTTCAGCAGTGGCTACGGTCTTCACTGGCGGCATCTTTCTATAAAGAGGGCATAAAAAGTTGGTTTCCCGCTACGACAAATGTCTGAACAATGGTGGCAACTATGTTGAAAAATAGTTTAAGAAATGCTCTTTCATGTAAAAATAAATTTTGTTTTGAAAAAATGTTTTGATGTGTTTTTTTCCAAAACGGTACTTAGTTTACGGACAAGCCTCGTATCTTTCAAAAGATCAATATGTCTAAAGACGAAGCAATATATTAAATAATACATCAGTTAAGTAACTAATAAACATGAGAACATTAATAGAAAAAAATGAACAATTAACAGACTAGTACTAACGTAATATCGTTTGCAAAAAATATATTTATCAATTATTAACGTCATGAATTACCTTTATGCTGCCATCTGTCTAAAGGTATTGTGCTTCTCTTAACTTCTTAATATCCTTACGCGTATTCTAAGTATGTGCGCGAACAGGTACAATTTTCATGTAACAAATGCAGCCTACTTTTTCTGTTCCCTCGTGATCAACGCGGTAAGTTTATCCTACATAAAAATTTGTAGATGTCCCAAGAAAAGTTAGTAAAAATTGTTCTGTGCGGTCTCTTTGTGTATGAATATGACAAAGCTAAAATCTCCTAAGCGTGTTAGTACAAAGTTCTCGTAAGCTTAGGCTCTTTATCATTATTAGCGGTGCGTAAATACTCTACAAAACTTTTAAGTATTGATTGCTAATCACGTGTAGCAGTAAAGCCGTAAGAATCTCGTTCAAAAGCCGATGTTTACAAAGCGAGCTTGTAAATTTTATTGACGCTGCAATTTTCGTATTTGGTCCTCTAATTCCTTAACTCGCAGCTGGCTATTAGCGAGCTGTCGTCGTACCAGTCTCAATTCGTCGGTTTGACGAGCAAATGCCAAACGAAGTTCCGCTTCATTGTTTGGAACGTCCACAGTTTCCATAACTTTATTGTCATTAAGTGGGGAAGATATAATGTTCTTCTAACAGGAAAAAATCATCAGATATAAATAATATATACATATAAATCCAAGTATTCAAAAAGATCAACAATATAATATACGTATATTACGCTTGTACCTGTATAGCAACATTTCCAAACTTCTGCTGAAGTTGCTGAAATTTTGTGCTTTGATTGCTGGATGTCTTTTGACTCTTTTCCGACATGTCGTGCAATTCCACCGGTCTGTAGTCCGGTATCGTCTCCGTAGACAGAAACGCAAATTTCTTTTTGTTATTCAGATCAGTGGTCGGAGGCAGTTGCGGTGGCTTGTATATTCGTGGCTTATGCGTCGAGATACTCCCACCTAATAATAAATAGCATGAAATCCACTAACATAACTGGATAGAATGTCACATCTATTAATGGAAAATCGAACAAATAAGGCTGAGAACAGCTTGCTCGAATAAAATCTAATCTGTAAACATGTAGGACCTGTTTTAAGAGAAATCAAGATTGGCGGGCTATTCATGCCACTAGTCCAGTCTCTAGCCGACAACGCGGGACACGTTCCGATTGTATCGGGATACAAATCCTCTTGGAATTGATCGCTCTGTAAGACGGATTTCTTTAATGTATACAATTCGAGAGAAAATCTTGCGAAGAAAATACAATATTGGGCACGTAAACTTGCCTTCCGTGGCACTATCATCGAGATTGGCTCGCACATTCCACGAGTCGCGTGTAACTTGTAAAATCTGAACACTTCGCACAAAGAGGTGCTGATGCCCCTTTTCGGCATCACCCCCAACCCTCTCTGAGGATTTCCAGATATAAACTGGCTGAGATAATGCATCCAGGGTGCCTCGTTGACCACTTCGTAGTACCGAATGTTACCGTCGCCCTGCGAAAAGCAACGACACGGCGGGTTTTAAACAGTTCATATCACGCATGCCGTATATTCTTACCTTCCCGGCTAAGAACACCATATTGGTATCATTATCGTAAAATGGAAAAACCACTCCGCTCGACGAATCTATCGTCTCGCACGTCAGTGGGACAGTCAGATCGTGCTGACTCCATATCGCGTATTGTCGATCCGAATGTCTGCTAAATCCCGTGGTCAGAAGACGCCCGGAGCTGCCGAGAAATACCACCTTGCTCGCTTTCGTGCCGGCGTGACATACCCCTTCCTGTAAAAATGAAAATTTAGATTCGTGTGAAATTTAATAGACACAATTTTCAACGAAGACGAATGTATGTTTTAGATTCGCGGTTAAGAATGATTTCAGGATATTTGTATAGAGTCAAATAAATATTTATATACGATTACAAGTTCGAACGATTCCATACCGAAACGACGATACCGGATCTCGGTTCGAAGACGCGCAGCTTCTTATCCTTGCAAGTGGTCGCCAGTAAGCTGCCGTCGCGGTTCAGGGACATGCTGTAAATGACATCGGGATGCCTGTCGATGACGCTCACCGCCTCGCACCTGTTCACGTCCCACACAATGACGAGATGATCGAAGCCGGCGCTGAAGAGCACGTTCTCCGCCACCGGATGCCACTCGATATAGGCGACGCGTCGTTTGTGCCCTTGCAACTCCACCAGCCACTCGGTCAGGTTCCTCGACAATCCGCCGTCGGGTACGTGCCACAGTTTTATCTAGACATAAAGATCCAAATCTTTGTGATTCCGTTTATCTCTCGATTAAATATGGCGATATCAAATAAATTTTGAATCTCTAAGGGCCAGTTTCACAAACGTCGGTTAACTGCTAACCGAAGGTTAACTGATCCTCTGTCTCTTCTTAGAGAACAAGATAGAAAAAGATAGGGCGTTGACTGAACTCTGGTTAACAGTTAACCAACGTTTGTGAAACTGGCCCTAAGGGTTGCTTTTCTTTTGACGAACACAGTCGACATTTTTTACACAAATCGACACGTGTCGCTTCTAAAACATTTAGAATTTAATTCGAACTCGGTCGACACTTTTCCACTCTGCTCGAGAGGAGAGTCGGAGTGTGATTTTGAGTGACGAATGCAGCCGGGTATTTCGATAGAAATCTTTCTTAAAATTTGAACCTTTGCCATTTAACTGTGGCAACCTGTTCTCGGGTGTGTTAACTCGTGTCGATTTGTGTCTCCTAAGAGGAAAACGGCCTAATTCTACACTCTGTTCACAGAAATCTTCTGCGGACAATGAAGACGCGAGCGGAGATGCTCTCCACCCGATATGCAAAGTATATTCCTTACGGTGCAATCGTCGGAGCAGGACGCGATGATGTTGTCGTTGAACGGATTCCATTTGATGTCCAAAACGGGGCCGGTGTGTCCAGTTACTCGGCTGGCGTTGAAGTCGAGACGACCGGTCTGTAACATTCAGGAAATAATTAATATCCATTCCTACGGCAGCGTTAACCTTTACAACGTTACGTGAAAGTCTTACGATTAATTTAGAATAGACTACGCGAGCGAAACGTTCGAGAGAGGGTTCGAATGTATTTCTCGGGTCGATCGAGCGTCGCGTCAGCTGATACTTGCATTCTTTGCGCAGGAGAGAAATCGATAAATCGACACGGCGCGGAAAACTCACACGATCCAATGATAACACCAGGAACGCTCCGCCGCCCGCAACCTCCGTCACGACGGCCAGGAACTTGGGGTTCACGGCGCAGAACTGCGAGTCGTGGGCGTTCTTCGTGATCTTGATGTTGTCGTAGCATTTCTCCCTCTTGGCCGGCACGCCGTAAACGTGCCGAAACTTGCTGCTCCGGACGCCGCGGAACCACGACTGCAAGTATAATTAACAATCATTGTTTATTCATCCTCGTCTCTTTTAAATTCTGTTTCGATACGCTCCGGTTGCAGGGTCCGTCGGAGTAGCGTGAATATTACTGCAGCCTCAAGGAGTCGCAAAGAAATTTAAATAAAGAAGAGGAAGAAACTGCGGGCAACACACGTTGCAGCGATACAACGCGCGTGCGTTTGCGGCGATTTCGAGGGGAGAAAAAAAAAGGGGAATTAAAGAGAAATATGCCATTCATGTGTGCGATCTTCGGGAGTACTCTCTCTTACTCAGAAACCGTGAAAAAGAAAGTTGCCGGCGTCACGAACGGAAATACAGACGTTTCGTTTATCGGCTGACAATTGCGCGAGTCTTCGGCTGGAGTTACGCGTCTGAGGAGTAAAGCCCGAGGAATCGACGCGGAACGAACGATGCGCGATGAGGTATAAAACCTAACGATCGTGCGCTCGGCGCGAAACGTGTGCTTTTGCATCTACAACGTTCCCGTCGCGCTCGCCGCGCGATAATTAATTCGCGCCGGTGAGCAAAACGTTACACGATGGTACATTTACAGCGTTACACGTAATTGCGGTATCTCGTCGCTCCGTTATTTTGTATTCGAGGGGCGCGCCTACGAAACTAAAAGCAGAGCACTCGAAAAGAGGCAGCGTGCTCCTTTTCTCTTTTATTAAAAAAAAATCTCATTTTCAACCTGCGTTCTTCTCGAGACGCCGCCGCGTTGTAGACGCGTGCGATGAGTCACACGCGGTTGCGGCTAATTGACGGCGCGAATGTGAAATCTCTCGAATTCGTGTGAATCGACGTATCTTTACTGGCGCGCGCAGTGTAGCGCGGCGAGATAGATCGAATTATGCGACTTTTTCCCAGAAAAAAAAAGAGAGAAGATAATCATGCGAATTGCGAGAACCGCGTAAGAATCGCGGCGAAAGGATCGGAACCCCGCAATTCTCCGTTCCAGAATTAGAGGCGGGTGATCTCGCGAATCTAACGATCGAGCCCCGATCTTTCACCCGCGAATTCCCTTTGACGCTGATCTGGAATTGGAGATCAGAGTACACTGAAAGAGGATACACACAGACTGACACAGAGGAGACCCGATATTTGCTTATTCCTTTCTAAAAGAAAAAAAAAGAAGAAAAGAAATGTTACCGGCGTGAATATTGTTAACATCGAACTGGGTATCTATCATGGAAATGTTCGGAATTGTTCGATTATTTCCTCGATTTCTATTGTGTTCTTTTCCAGGGGAAACGGAATAATTCCGATCGGAATCCATTCCGAACATTTCCACAATAGGTGCCCACGCGGAAAGAACTTTCTCTTAAAATTTATCCTGAAAGTCATGTAATCGTGGGACACTTTAAAGAGTTTCAGAGCTTTTTGAAATTTTACCATACATTTCACTAGTGATCATACTTAGTATACATTTTACTAGCAAAATATATGGTAAAATTAAAAAAAAACTCTCATAAAATACTTCAAAATGCCACGTTGCCCCACGATTATATCATTTTCAGGCTAAATTTTAAAAGAAAATTCTCTCCGTGCAGCTGAGGCCTCTTCTCCGCGAAGCCAATTGGTGTTCTCGAAGCGTGGTGTGCTTCACTTCTCTCTTAGGATTCGTGCCGTGTTTCACTTCTTTTGTTCATGTTCAGTGTGCCGTGTTTCTCATCAGTTAACACTTTTAACTATTTGTTACGCATAAAAATTATCATAAGGAAATAAGAAAAAATAAATAAGTCGCGCGCGCAGGTATTGTTCGAGCATCTCAAAAGCTACTGATTTGTAAGTTTAATTTGCAGCTGCGACTTATAACTTTGTACAGAAATGTTGATTAAACTCGTCGCGTTTGGCTCTCAAAGCTTTTTCATCGTTAATTCGAAAAACTACCGTCGTGGTAGAAAGACCGAATTAAAACTGATCGAAGCAAACGCGGATCAAAAACCGCTCGGTAGATCGGGGACACCCTATGTGTGTGTAAAATGTGCAAGATATCGTAATCAAAATCAATAACCGGTACATTATGTAATAACGTTGCGGCTTACTACTCGTTGCTACGCAGGCAGCGTAGCGGAGACGCGATATGTCGCTTCCTCGGTGCATTCCACGCGCAAAACTGTAGAACATACGTGAAATTTTGATGCGTAAATTTTTAAGGAAAGCGTCGTCGAATCTAACGAGGTCGCGAACGCTTTTTACAGCCGCTCCGAAAACTGGACAATTCGCTCAACGTGCACTAAGCATAAACTTGGAGTTTGGGAGTTCGTTCTTTAAGGGCCGGTTTTTCATTTTCTCGTCGACTGGTTAGCCAGAAGTCAGTCGACTCTCCGTCTTTTTTCTATGTTATCTAAGAAGATACAGAGAATCGACTAGCCTCTGGTTAACAATGAGCCAGAAAATGAAAAACCGGGCCTGACTGGGATGCGGGTAATACCGGAAGCTCTTTCCCCCCTCACTCAGGGTCTACCGGAAGGTCCACTTTAAACGTGTGTGACAATTCAAAGCTGATATACAGATTGCAAGCTCGATACACTGTTCCAGCCTCGCAACGTTCCCGCGTTTGTTCTGTCCGTTCCCTTCCGATTCCGATTGCCGCGTACGGAGTAGGAGATCGGTACTCACCTGTCTATCGTTGGTCATGTCTGACGTTAATCGGGATCTGGTGTCCGGAACAGCCGGTGCTCGACGAGTACACGTGCGCGGTGAGACGATCGTCGCCAGTGCACAACGGGGACGCGGTAATCGACAAGCCGGGACCCATGCATGTGCAGGTGGTTGGAGAAACAAAAAGAGACAGAGAGAGAGAGAGAGAGACGGGGAGAAGAAGAGAGGGAGAGAAACAAGTAAAGAGAGAGAGAGAGAAAGAGACACTGACGTGGATAATATTGCAACCAACTACACGAGCCGTTCTCTCACGCCGCGCTTACTAGAAGAAACAAAGGAAAATGAGACACGCGTCTAATTAGCAAACTCATAAAATCACAATTAAGCCCGCGCGGCGCGTCAAAGCGCGGCCGCCGCGGTTTCCGCGGGCGCGCGTAACTCAAGTAAACTCGGGGCCGGGAGGGAATGGTGGGGACTAACTCGCGTGAATTAGACTCGGGCCGAGTTTATCGCGACGATCGCGTCGTTACAGACAGCGGTGATCCTATTAGCGAGATCTTCTCTCTTTTCCGAGTGCAACAGCCGCTTTCCCCCCAATTCTGGAAGGCTTCGGGCGATCGTAGTTTTCCCATCTGCGCGAGAGCACGAGACGACGAGGGGATCCTCCGAGCGGGAGGCCACCGTGTCGACTCGCGGGGTCTCCCGCTCGTTGGAATGTCGAACACTTGGCTCGTAACGACGCGATCGAGGTTCGATGGTTGATCTCGGGTGGCGCGGGACACGGGGACAGCGCTTTCTTTGATGGCTTATGTCACGCGCGTCTAGCTAATCTAGGCCGTATGGGCTTATACGTCGTCGCACAGCTTCGGGTTAAACGCCCATCTCTCTTCGACCGGCACCGCCGGTTCTCGTCGTCAGCGTGTCGTCGAGCCTCTACACCGTCGTCGTTTCCCTTTCGCGAGTTTCTCGAGAGCACGGGACTCGATGTCCGTCGTCTTCACGGCGAGGATATTACGAAATTAGGCGGTCGATTTCGAGGAGAATCGGGGGGTCACGCGATGGACATTCCCGGTCCTCTCAGGCGGACGCAGGCCTGTCCTGAGCGGAGCCGATACGTTTATAATTGCGATACGTACACACGAATTAGCCATGCGAGCGACGTTGGCGTTTCCTCGCCTCCCCCGTGATGGTCGAGCAACGAGGGCGATTACGAGATCGACCGACACGCGCCCGTAGCACGGAAGGGAACAACTGCGAGAGCCGAGGCGCTATCGAGCGAACGCTCGGTCACGCCGACCGTTCCGCTTCTACTGACAGAGGCGGGTGACTATCTCTAGCGCTAGGTAGTGGCTCAGTGCTCGCGGAACTCGATGCCTGTTGCTCGCTCTGCGGTGTCACGCTCGGCGCGCGACACGGCAGCAACGTACGAGTCGGTGCCGGTGTCAACATCGAAACGTGTTTGCGGGAACACGATACTTTTGCGAGTGCTCTCCACTCTCGGCGGGGGCGGGTCGTCGCAGGTGGATTCCGAGCGTCTCGTTTCGTGCTCCCTTCCGCTTTCGTTCGTGCGGCTACGGTGACTCACGGGGGAAGACACGGAGCGGAAACACGACCATTTTCCTGAACGTATCGATAGCGGCTCGCTGTGAATTTAATATATATATATGAATTATTCGGAACGCAACTCGGGATTTATTTAAACAAGTTTGCCTCCGCCTGGGTGAAAGATATAGTTTCAGCGAAGGGAGTCTCGTGTGAATCGGTATATTACGAACCTGAATGCTTATCCGTCGCTCTTGGCGAGTCTCGGGCGCATCTCCGGCTAGAGCGGCGCGACAAAAATAAAGTAACAGATACTCGCCACTGGGTCTTTTTGCTGCGTGCTCCGAGGAAACCGAAAATCGGCCGCGTCACATGCACAGGCACACATACGACAGATATAACAACAGCGCTACGAAACAGATCTCGAAACGCCCCGAGACCATGATTCACCGACACTGTCGGTTACTCCATCGCCACGTCGATACAAAATCATTCCCGCCGTCGCGCCACGAAATTCATACGGCGGATCTCGCGCCGAGAGACGGCCGTTTGTACGATCGACGCGAAGCCGTACGAAATTTGTGGCGAACTGCGGAGAGCCGCATGCAAGGGTCCGGGATGAAAACGTCTTCTCCTCGCGGAGAACGGGAGACTCCGACCAAGTCACGATCAGGCGACACCCGCCAACAACAGAGAGTTTTAACAATTTCGTAGACCTGCTCCTCTCCTCTTCCTCCGCGTTTTAGAGAGAGGCAGGAGAGATAAACAGTGCACAAAAAGAAAGCACAAATCTTACTCCGGCAATTCTTCTCGAATTATCGATGCCAGCTTTCACCCAAGCCCATTAACTCTGATCTTCGTTCAATTCGCCTCTTGTCGCTTGCCAAGGCAACGGTTACAAAGGACGAAATTAAACCGCGCGAATTCGATTGCTCGCACTAGAGTCCGGCCAACAGGCAGTTTCGGCAAAATGATGCGGGAGAGAATCAAGTATACACAGCTGGAGACCCTGTAATCGGAGACCGGCCATAAGAGAGTTTGTCGAATCCCCGCGAGCGAGAGAGAAACGTAGGCCGTCGCACTTTTCTACGATCGCAGAAATTTGGCGAACTACCTTACGGCCAGTCTCTGATTACAGGGCCATGTGGAGCAAGAGGGAATAGATTTCTTTCCCTCTCGCATCAGTTTGCCGAAACTGCCTGTTGGCCGGACTCCGATTAGAGAGACCTTAACTTGCACTGGCGCGCACTGAGCCCGCCCGAAGGCTTGTTTACGGTCAATTCTTATATTTAAGGATCGTTTGAAATCTTTTCAGCTTCTTGGCCGGAAAAATTATCTGTACGCCACCCGTACGGATCATCCTTTGGTTACGCGGTTTCCGAGCATCTGTTTAGGACCGTAAATATAAGAGCAGGCTTCAGCGCGCACTCAGTGCGCACTGGCGCGAGCAACCGAATTCGCCAAAGGTCAAGCGACGTTGGTGAAAACCGGGGTTAATCTTTTAACACAAGTAGAGCAATTCTCTGTTGTCCAAAACACGGAGGGAGAGAGACAGCAAGTCGGCGAACGGCGAGCGTCGCGCAGCGGAGACTACCTCGCCGTAGGCGATTCCGCGGGTCGGATCGATCTCGGGAATTGCTCGGAGTCACCGCGAGACGGTCATCTACGCACTCCAACTCGACACTCACTTTGCTGACGGGCTTGTAACAGGCCCTCGCGTCTACCATGTTGTTCATGATCGCGTGCTGCTGGTCCTCGTCGAAGCTCAGTTTCTCCTCCCGCGCGCGTATCATCTCAGCCAGTCGGCGACGTTGTATCCCATAGACTTCGTAGGCTTCACCGCGCGGCAATCTCTCTCTCTCTCCCTCTCCCCGGGAGAGAGAGGCTGTGTATCCTCTCCGCCGCCGAACCACGCCGGGATGGGAGCTACGAACGGTCCATCGCCTCGCCGGCCCTCGCCTCAACCTCTCTTTCCGTCTGCCCTTTCTCCACCCCGTTTATCAGCCGCCGCGCCGCGGCGAGTCAAACACGTGTGCGGACGCTTTCACGCACCGTCGGCGGCCCGTCGGGTCGGACGTACTCTTGCGTGTAAACACGGTATCGATCTGGCTGGATCTGACGTTCCGCGTGTAAACACCGGAGCCATGACACACGGGCAAACGTGACGAAGTGCGGTTTTCCTAGAGGCCCTGTCGTCAGCAAAATGGCGGACTCGTCCCGCGTCCGATTGCCTAGAGTCGCTCGAGCGGAGTGGTCTCGGGGTTACAAGA